CTGTAATAGACAAAAATGTTATATTGAATTAAATTTAGAAAAAAATTGCGAACCACTTTTTCAATTAGCGGTAATTTATATTACCGTGATAGATGCGTAAGCAATCTATCATTGATCCCTCGCTTCAATTTGGCAACTTAACTAACTGGAAATTGAATCCGCGAACTTTCATAGAAATAGCAACACAGCTGGGCTTATCAAGTTTAACTACTAGCTCGATACACAACTTCTTACCGTTAAATAAGCAACGCAACAAATGTTATCAATACTTTCATGTAATTAATACTCACAATTAGAGAGATATTTAATAAATAAATAACATTGTAATTATTTCAGTGTTATAATTATTTGAAATAATTTTGAAATATTTTGAATAATTCAAAACTATTAATTAAATAAAATGGCTATTATCAGAAGTGCGTAATCTACGTAAATAAACAATTCGACGAGAATCATGTAATTCAAATTTTTGTTCCAATAAAACTTCATTTGCAACTTTTATTAATTAATATAGTGGGATTTCTCTCTCTTTCTCTCTTTCTCTCCCCCCCCCCATCTCCATTACTATCGGTTTTGGAATATTAGAGCACATGCGTTTAATAAAATTGTCATCGCACAATGGTTTATTTAATACCGTATGTTAAATGTCCGCAAGCAATGCAATTTTCCGGTAATAAACTTTTTTCAAAAAAAAAAGAAAACAAAAAACAAATATTCTGTCGATATAAATTGTAATTAAAAAAAAATATAATATATCTTTGATTACAAAATACGCACTATGGATTCTCTTCGTAAATTTCGCCGACTGGAGAATAAATCGTAGACAGAAGCATGGATAAGCACAAAATATACCGATTTCGCTTTTAATTCCATCCTAATACTCGCAATATTAAAGTCGCGTGAAAGAAAATTCGTCGATTCATCGTTTTGTCAAAATTCTCATCGACCGTACTTGAAGAAGAAAGAAGAAATCTGTCGCAATGGTCCAACTTTTGAATTGGAAGTTTCTGAAGATTCATTCTTTTTTGCGTCGGTTTGTAAGAACTCGGATTGAATGGAAATACGCTTTTTCTTTTAATACGCAAGAAGAACGACATTTCTGCGTCGTGTCATCTGAAATTGAAAGAGAAGATACATAATCCCCCGGAGTTGGAATAACTAAAGAGGTTTCGCGCAGTTTCAAAGTTTTTTAAGAAAATTACTGGGGCGAAAATTTCCTGTCAACTCAAAAAAACGATGCATAAAATAACGTACATGTGTAAGTAGCAATATTATTTCGACATTTTTTGCAACACAATTAACATTTATAAAAAAATTTAATTCTTAATCATAATAAATATTTTCTTTACTTCATTAATAATTATTGCTATCTATTATTAGAGATCTATTCTTAGAGATATTCAATGTCTCGAACTATAGATCGTTCAACTACGTTAGACATAATGTAAGCGCTTCGCAGATATGCAATCCTACGGCATGATAATAGAACTTAAGACGGTTAATAACAATGAAGATCGATGAAGAATAGTAAATTTCCTTTATTTATAACCAAGTATGCAAACGTAAAAACGGCACTATAAACTCGCTGCATATGGTTAAATATAGATGGCACATGGCACGTTTTTCCAACTTTCCCCGAGTTTCAAAGCTGCAAGGCTTGTAACAAGTAAAACACGGTAACTGAACTCGGTCGTCTGTCGCAACCTCTCAGCCATACTTCACCTCTATAAATTCTCATAATAAGATCCTATCGCTTAACAGTTCCATCTATCTTTGCCCATCACTAGTCTGCATACAGCGAAATTACAAGCGTCGCAACAATTTTCAAAGTTTACTTTTCGTGCTTGTTGAAATAAAATGGAATATAATGGGTTTCAAAAGGAAATTAATGGAATCAACCGGAAACAATTTGGGTGAATGATGGAGTTATAGCAGTTGAATTAATTCACGATTGGTCGCCGTCGATGTCGCATTGACGTGTCGTGAATATCTTATGAAAATTACAAACCCTGCGGGCGTTCACTAGCAGTGAGCATAACGCAAAGGGACCAGTATAATGCATAAAATAAAAATAATATATGTAATAAAAAAATTTTATTAAATCTAATTATTACTTTTTTATACACAAACGTTTAATTTCTCTCATATAAAAATTACTCTCGTAGCAAATAAGTTTCTAATATTCAGAAGCCGGAAAGAAACTCTTTTCATGTAAATGTAATGTGTAATATTCAACTTGAAATAATAATATACAGCATCGATCAATCAGACCATTTTAATACATCAAATTAGTGCAATTTTTTCTATCAAGAAAATCACTAAAAACCAATTTTACAATATAGAGACGCCTCTAAAAATTCTCCACTGGTGATTCTCCAATATCTACAAAAAGCTGGTTAAAAAAGGAAAAAGCTTGTGCACGATCTAATATACAATACGCGATACACATCATATTGACGCATCGGTCACCACCCCTCGTTCTATGCGACGGCATGAAAACGTTTCGCGTACAGTGTTTATCGACAGGTACCTGGCGTCGGTTTGACTAACGGGTGCACGATAGACGGTTCAAGCCCCGGCACGGTTTGTGTATCGTGAACGCGGACTATTTCCACGGCCGATGATTTTCAATCACGATAATGCATCAAAGGTATACGCGCGCGCGAACGCGCCTGTCGTCAATACGTTCCACTCGTCGTATTCGCGCGAGCGTCCGCGAATCACCAGCTCTGTGTAATTTACTTCCGGAACAGTGGCTCGTCGAAAATATCAGCTGTGTCGTTGTCGCTAATAATTCTCCCTATCGGATATCTGCTATTGCATTATTACCGCGCCGCGCCGCTGCGTCACCGCTATTAATGATGCATAATCGTTTTACTTTTATCTTAATTACAATCGAGGGTGTCACGATTGACGCCGGATCGAAATTCAATGTAAATCTCTTGAATACCGAGTAATCCTTTCGTAAAGGTTGATAGCCAAAAGTGATGACTTTATACGCCACGTAATATCCTTTTTTTCTCCGTCATGCAAAACAGTTTCCGAGGGGAGGAACGAAATCTGAATAAATCTACGTCATTTTCCCCGGAGTATCGTCACGCAATGCGCAAGCTGACATCGCGAGGGGGGATACAAAAAGAGGCGTACCGACAGCACCGTGTCTGCGTGCCGCGTGTGCACGGCAAATCGATATGATTTATTATTCTTGTGGAGAAGCCGCAGGGAAGATTTCAATCTTCCATGTCAAAGAAAATTTAAGAGGCTCCGCAGCCTCCGCAAAAAGGGGTTTTTCCCAATATTCCGTGTAAACATGACGAACGTCGTCGGGAGTTGTAGAAATTTCGCTGGAGAAAGCTTCGCGTGCCTCCATCTCAGCGATGGCCAGCGGATAAGAAGCCCCCTTTTACACACTCTCACGATATACTATAATTCTTCTATAATTCCCCCATTATTACATAGGTGGTCGTAACTTCTCGCCGCGTTACGTCTAAATCGCCTCGTTTAGCCGTCTGCTACAACTTTCGGGTCAAAATGATCCCGGACACGCGCTGTATAATTTCCTCATTGCGTTGACTTATTCAGAGCTTTATTCCGTTTGTTACATTGAGCACTGAACAAATGATGTAAAATTATAGCTTGAGTTATATCGCCTATAACTTTTTTCAGATCGAACATGAGAATTACGTATTTTGAAAAAAATAAATAAATAAACGATAAAAAAGAGTAAAAAAAAGGGGAGATTAATGTATTTTTTCTGACAACACAATCGCGCTGCGGTCGCGCTGTTACGGATGATTTATTGCATTTATTCGCTCACCAAGGTGTGTTACCGGTGGGAGCGATAAGAACAAAATCACAAGCGACGAGCGTAATTTGAACCATTATTCTGAACTTTTAATTAGCTTGGAATTAAAACTTTGGTCGCGGAGATCCATCGACCGCTATTAACCGCTGCTTGAGACGTAACGGTGCTTGAGACGTACTCGTGCGCTTGGAGATATCACTTGTACGCGACACCTCGGGCATACCTGACATTCGCCTTCACAGAAAATCAAGCAAGTCAAGATAAAATATATAATCGAGCGAGTTCGCCTTCATTTGCGATCCGCACGACTGCCGTTGCTATTTTCGAACGTATATGAATATAGGGAATTCCGGCAGATTCCGGAAATTCAAGGCATTCCAATTAGGAAAATCGATATCGAATTACATGCTTGATTTAGCCCTTCCATAACTGCCAAAGAGTTTATTTATGATGCACGAGTCTGCAGTGCAGTGATATTTCCTAGGAAATATTACTGTACGCCGTAAAACTCGCGCGCGACAATAACAAATTCATTATCGATTCGCTAATCACGCAACAATGCAAAATTATAATATGCAGAATATTGATTTGCATAATTAATAATTAATAATTTCTCTCCCTAATAAATAAACACAACGAACGCATTAATTTATATTAGCTCGCGGAGATCGTCGCTGCAGGTGTAATAAATCAATTTACCAAATTGATTGAGATTGAGACCGGACCGAAAGTTTCTCATTATAGGAAATAACCAAGTTTCGCGCGTCTACTTCTTCATTCTAACGCGATCGCCAATTGCAAATTAAAAAGTTCTACACGACAATTTCCTATAGTCATTACGGCCTTCTACGGGCCATCTCTTGCGTATTATTTTTTAACGACTCTGCTTAATTTAGAGTCGATTCTCTCAGAATCTCATTTATCGCAGCTTTCCAATTTGTCTAAGCGTATACATTTCTGTAACTAAATTTCAAAGTCCATTAAATTCTACCTCTAAAATTGACTCGAGAATATTTCGTCCGCTTGAGAATCAATTCGCGAAGAGCCTGCGTTTTTCAATTATAGCGTGAAAATGATTAATACCTTGATATTTTCGGTGACGAGCGTCTAATAAATTTGCCAAATAATCCATCATTATTTGGAGATACCTCCTCCGAAATTAGATGAAGACAATATAAAAAAAGTAAAAACTCACGTTGACTGCTACTGCGACGTATGATGTTCTCCAGGAACGTGTTCTGGGGGGCTACCAGGCCCCTGCGACCCCCTGGCATCCTTTCTTCGTTGAATGGTCCCGGATCCTGGTCGCTGCGGTGGCTATCAGGATCTCGGCCAGCCTGTGCCGGCTAGGATGATCTCAAGCCGCCCGCGACACATGACGAAGATCTTTCGTATCTTCCTTCCCCCTTCTCCTCTTGCTGCTCTTTCACCGGTATAACTCACCTCTCAGGTATCTCTCTCGGTAACGCGCGATCCAAAAACAACGACACACCTCACGACGCACACGGAATCGTTCGCGATGTCGCTCGTACGCGGCGATCCACCATGGCGATTCATTAGACCAATACCGGTGTACGATGCACGCAAAATCGACAAACAATCGAGCACCAGCACTCGCCCGGGACAAGTCCGGCACGGTTTCGACAAAGCGATTTTCGTGCAATCAACAACAAGTGGCTCTCGAAAGCGAGCGTTTCAGTTTTCGGAGGAATTTCACTCAAAGCACTTTATTATTTATGGCACTTGGGGTAAGTTTCGTTTAGGTTTTTGGCGATCCGGTTTCAACGTCGAGAATTATCGCGACGCCTCGATCTGATCGCTCATCGATCCGAGCAACTTCTGGCGGGTGAAGTAACGAAAAACATAAAAGGCCGCGAGTTTCTTCTTGTTGAGAGACTCCTCTCGCCGTGGATTCTCGTGCCGTTTATCACTGTTCTCGCTCCCCATTAGACAGCCAAGTCGAGCGGGGGATACAGAAAAGCTTTCGTCGACAATTCTCCGCTAAACGATGTCGGGGTTTGGGATCGACGACTTCTTTCGTCATCTGAACGACGTCTCCCTTCCAGACATCATCGCGGCAGCTCGGGATGGGACAGCTTTGTGAATCGACGATCCCCTCGACGACGACGAAAAGGAGCGGTAGATGGTCTCAAGTATGGCCGGCACGGAAAATTCTTTTACCGGTTCGTCCGGAAAAATTGACACGTGTCCGACACGTGTAACTGTTTGCACGGCCGACAGTCGATGAAAGGCGAAAAGCGATCGATAGATTATCGGAGATCGTTTCTCGAGATCTACGAGCCGGTTTATCCAGCTCCGCCGAATCGATTTTACGAATCGGATTGACGGTCCACCCGGGAGGCCGGCGGTGCTCGACTCGAGGATTAGTTCGTTTATCGACCCAGGAGACCGCTCGACATTGGTGGCGACCGGCGTTCTATTGCTGCAGCTGTTTATCGATGGTCCACCTGGCTCTTCGAGGACCCTCGAGCGTGCTTCGAATTCGCTTGTCGATTCGTATGCCCGGTACTCGTCCGGAATTCCAACTACACGTGCCAACCGGCCGCGCACGCTCGATTCGGCCAACTCGTTTATCGACTTTCCTAATCTCGCGCCGAAGACGCCGGCCGGCGTTGTCGACCGCGATCTATTGACCGATCCAGCCGTCGGTCGTTCGCGGACGCGCGATTCGCCGAATTCGTCCCGAATAAATGTCGACCGGAAGAGCCCGACAATCCAGCCGTCGTGGGAGAGGAGGAGGAGGATGATCGATCGGAATGCGGCGCCGATCGATCCGCCTGGCCGTCGTCTCTCGAGAATGATTACGTGCGTTGTTGGCGATCGCAGTGACCGAGACGAGCCCCACGTCTCCTTATCCGCGCGTCCAAGGCGTCGATGGGCCCGAGTCCTCGACGTTGCTCCCGGTAGTGTCGTCGGACGATGGCGGATGATCCACGACCGATGACCCATCTAACCGCAGTCCTTCCAAGTAATCGCTCGCGCGGCGACGGTGACGTACTCGCGACGACGACGACGACAAGTGACGTGACGACTGCGCCGTTGTATCCGTAACGTCGTTCTCCACATCCTCGGCGTCCTCCTCGGCGTCCGTACAGGCGGTACCCGCGGAGGAGGACATCCCTCGGGAGAGATGGGCCGGATATGGGGCGTCGGCTGCCGACAATCACATCATCATTTTCGGTAAGCGTGCTATCTCGCGGATGAGAAGCACCGCGACTTGATCACGCGATCCTCGTCCTTCGACAGGTTGTCGCGTTTTCTAGTGCAACGTCTTATGATTGCTGGTTCCTTGTCCAATGAAATCTTCCTTGAGCGATTGATGAGCGAACGGGCCGGGCGACGAAAACGATCGAGCGCTGTAAACAAAAAAACAAATTCCGTGTAAAAGAAATAGTAATCTCGAGATTTAGTATATAAGTTTGCAGAATTATATACATTTTTATCGCAATATTAATGGATTTTTTACGATGTAAATAGCTGTACGTAGTATTTTGTTACGATGTATGCGACTGTATTTCGGGTGAAGACGACTTTTAAAAGCGTATCGCATTAGAACTGTAATTTTATTTGTGGCATTTGATTTTCCAATCCGTCGAGTTCAGCGCTCCAAAGAAACTCGATTCGCGAAAGTCGGCTTCATGCAGTTTGCCGATTGTCCTGAATAATACGACTCGTCTCGCGCCGGAAGAAATATAGCAGCCGCGGTCGAAGTTTTAATGTCATTCGAGAAACTTCCTGATTCGTGGTTTTATCATTCGTGTGCGGGCACTGCATCGTTGCTGCACCGTTTACCCCCGTGCCAAAAATAGCAACTTTGCAATGCCTAGAACCGGTTATGAACTCGGAAACGAGATGTTTACAAACACGTATATCGTCCTGCGGGACCGATGAACTCTCTATTTCACATCGACACGCTCGGAGCGGGCGTGGTCGATCGCGTCCTATCATAGAGAATATATAGAACATGTGATATGACATGTCCGCCGTGTCGTGACATTTATATAGCTTTGCATATGAATCTAGTATGTCCAATTAGAGCTCCATATGTATATTGTAAAATTGTTTCTTGCGCGATAATAAAGATACATTTCGTCTCATATTAATTAATTTAAATAGATCAGCGTTATTATTTCAGGTTTTAACAAGTTTAAGTGAAATATGTTTATTTTTTTCACACAAATGTTATGTATGCATCGAGAATTATGTAGCATCAAAGGATTAAAGGATTAAAGTTTGTTTGATCATTTTGGAGCTTCCCTCTATTTCAACTTTTCGATTAGCATTAACTGCACCTGCGCTCGAACTATGAATATCGTGTTAAAGAGTACTTAGAGAGAGAGCTGACTGACCTCTAACTACTTCGGATATATATATATATATGTATATATATATATATATATATATAATAAATATCGAGGGTTGCAGTCATGGACATGGCGGTTAAGATAGAGGCAACAAACGGGATCGCTCAATATAGACTCGCGATTCGATTGCAGACTATTACGGGTGTTATTTTAGCTCCGAGCGAGGAGCATCGTGATAAAGTTTGCCACGTAATCTATCAAGTCCAACATATTTCTAGTCGAATTGCCTTGAAGTGAAATAACGTCACTAGAAATGCATTGCAATCGATTTTTTTTCACAAAGAATATTTTGTAAATATCTATAATTGAGAGCATAGCGTGCGCGCGAGAGAGAAACGCATTATAATAAAATACACGGACAATTCAATTGTGTTGATTATAATTTTAAATTACAGCAATTATTATTATAGTACGACAAGGTTGCTTTCTTTCGAGCGTGTATATTATATACGCCTGCTCCTCCATGTTTAATTTCGAATCGATTGCAGTGAAGCAGCACCTTACACCTAAGTTGCCCGACTTGCTCTGATAATTTCTAGTCGCGAAGTTTCATAGCGCCTTCTTTATGTTGAGTGGATTTACGCTGTTTATAGAGGCGGCTAATGATGGCAACATTAATCTATCGTAAATAAATTTATTATTGTAATCTCACAAAATTTTTATCACAATTTACATATTACAGATCTTTTTAGTTTATAGATTATTAATTTCATAAATTCTACTTCTGGATTTTGAACTTTATAAATATTTAATCGTGCTATTTTTTTTATATTAATTGTTATATATAATATTATCAAATATTATTAAATTTGTAATGCAGCAAATTCCTAAGAAATTCCTAAGAAACACATCAATATTGCCAAAAAAGATTAAACTAAAACAATTTTGAATTTATTTACATATCATAATCGTCATCATTTAGTTAAAAAATAAATGCATATCTTCGATATATAAATCACTAATCGTACGAAATTATTCGGGAAACTTAAGAGTACTGTTTTATCGCTCATTCTCTTTATCGGATTTCGTTGGCCAAATAAAAAGAGAATCGTCCTCTTTTCCAGTTCACTTGTTTTCCTGAAGCATCAGCAAGACGCAAGCGCTAATGACAATGTAAAATCTGCATTTCCGACAGCCTTTCTTTTCGCAAGCGTTGCGATTTCGCTCGTCATCACGCTTCTCGTTATCACAAGCAAAACCTTTGTCAATATTTTTCATTTCGTAACACGCCGCTCGATCGTTTTGTCATAAACACAGAATCGCGAAATGCGCACGCCAAAAATGCAATCATTCGTATTCAAATATCGTATGAGCCATAAAATACACGAAAGTAGCCTGTTACCTCGCATGTGTAAAGTGAATAAAGATTAGAGTTTAGAAATTTATGTATATTTAGCAAAATTTACTACAAACTCATATATATTCAGCAAAACGATTTAATAATGTATAAAACAGACCGAAATTATGTGTACAAAACAATGAATAAACTTCATAAATTTCTTTTATTGATTATTATACTGGTAGTTAGCGACTGCGCTCAAAGTTCGCAAAGAGCGAAACTATGCTTGATGCAAAACACGAAGTTTGCGTTCGTCGTTTGACGATAAGATATTCACGATAAGATCAAGGTGACGATATATCGTGACGTTCATTAACTTACGAATGCTCTCTGCGGGCAACCGACGAAGGAAGTCTTGAAGATACTTGCGAGAGTTCGATGTCTCAAAGGGATAGTTGATTCTTTCGTGTCGAATAACGAAAATTGATAAAAAGCTACGATTCGATGACTTTATCTCAAACGTTACAGAGAATGGCGAGTAAATCCGAAAGAAATAAAAATAATAATTCACTGATTATGATAAAAGTTAAAAAATTTCTAAAATAAACGATACAAAGTAAGAATAAATCACTTCGAAATGCAAAGTTGGAAAATTTTGAATACAGTTCGATACTATTTATTAAAAAATAAATGACAAATATTTATTTGTTTAATTATTATAACTTATCAGGCATTGCGCATATTTGCGCAGATCATTGAATAAAAGTCAGTTGGTAATTATCTAATGCACAGATCAATTTTGTTTAAGAAATTTATAGTATCGTAAAGTGAATTTGATGATAGTATCTGAAAACGAGAGCTCTTAAGGCAGCACTTTTCAATCTTGGTGACGCTTAAAGTACTGCTAAAATAAAATGGAGAATGCGAGTGTGACGTGGAGCATTTAATGTTCGAGAAGGCAATATTATTATCTCGTGAAAACAGCAATAACAATCTTTCTCGATCACTCATCGGTTTACTACGTTTAACGTAACTACGCAGATAACCTTGTTGTAAATAAGGTAAAGTGAAGTAAACACTTAAAATGCAAACTTATGCTGCATTTGCAAATTTAGGAATTCATTACTTCTTTACTTTTGCAATACCTGTTCCTCAGGCAAATTTTCTAACTTCACCAAAACCATCGTGTGTCTATCTATTTGCGTCAACATCATAAATCATTGTGATATGAAATCGAAGTTAACAATCCTATTGAATAATTTATCTGGGAGAGACAAATCGTTCCGCGATATGTCATCAAGCGCTTCGATTGAAGACAATTGAAGTTCTCGCTGCATTTGCAAATCGTGAACTGCCGATTTCTGGGAAAATAGTCGAGAATATAGTTCATGCCTTCGAGATCCGAAGTGGTCGTCGTGTATTTTCCCGCAGAAGGGCCACCTGAAGTAAAGGACTCCAAGTACCGGTTGGTTAGACGGATTAGATAGATGCCAAGATGTAGTATGTCGAAGCGAGAGTTCGAGTGGCATTATCGAGTGCTCGAGTTAAAGAAAAATCTATCCTTCGAGCATTCGAGGACCGTTATCTCATTAACGATATTCTTTGTGATAAAAAACAATATTGAACTAAATTGGTAGATTGAGTAACAAACATGAATAAAGATGCGATATCGCTAGAAGTCATTATTCTAAATTAAATTAACCCCAGAATATTATATCTCAGAATTATATCATAATATTATATCATTGAACTCTTACTTTTATTAAATATACATGAAATAATAAAGGTATATATAGCCTCATGAATTTACAAATACCTAAGGCAAATAAACCTAAACCCGGTGAATGCTTGCAGTATAAATAAATATAAATTCAAGCAAGTTAAAGACTGTAATAATCCACACGGTCGTGTTTAACTTTCTGACATTAAACATTAAGCTTCTTTCGTCAAATTAATGCAAAATCGACCGGAAGCAAAACATTGACTCCTCGCAACCTCGACACCGTTGTCTCAATATCATCGTCATCGCCGTCCTCGTCGTTATGTGACATTTCCAATTTGTCCCAGTTTACAGGATAGGTGCACTCATGCCTCGCGTGCAGGCAAATGTTACCAATATTAGAAAAGAGAGGCCGAGTTCGCTCGGATTTACAAGAATTCTAATATCGCCCGAAGGTCGGCCTAAAGTGGAAAAGTAGTTCGCACACGATCGATTAACTTAGTTTCACAATGAAAAAAAAATAAAACTTCAACCTTACTTGCGTAAGAACGTAACTCAAGATGTGTATATATGTTTATCGCGTCGCACACAATCGTCGAATCGTTAAGTTAAACGCTCGTCACTTTGCCGGCGTACACTCGGATTTGATTGTATGACAAGTGTCGTCCAAGCCGCTGAACAAACTTTACGTTTCTCTCTCTCTCTCTCAGTATCCCCACACGATTCTCAAATCTCTTCACTACTGCCACGGTATGTCAAAACTACTTGCCAATGGCACGAATGGCACTTGCAATTGTCAATGATAATTATTTAAAATTAATTTTTCCACAGTTTTTATGTAATTCAACAAAATAATGTCACAAAATACAAAACAAGATACGTAAAAATTTCCGATAACGGGCATTCAATATTATAGAATTTTCAATGCGTGTTTTAAAAACTTTTCACTGTATCATTTTTATTTGAAATGGAATATGAGATAAATTCTGAGAT